GGGAAAAGAAAAATAAAGACTATTTGGAAACTTAACTAAAGCAAATAAGTTCTAGAAAAATAAATACTCACTGAACCAAGAAAGCAGCGAAACTTCATGTTTCCATCCTGACATGTTATATTTACTTTAGGCTTCTTCACAGGATCTGAGGTGGTTTGATTAGAGCAAAGAGACGAGAAGTTATTAAGGAAATATAACAATGATGAAAAACAAATCAGACATTTTGTACCAACCGATCACACATAGATTGGTTTCCTTCATGGTGCGCGCTTTCCGTGTTTCATCAAAAACCTCCGAGGTGTAGCGTCCCGTTTGGTTCTTCTTCAGATTGATCAGTTTGAGGGAACCATCTTCATTTATATCTTCTGTTTTACCAATAACTACCTCTTCTGATCTTTTATAAAATAACATATTTCCATTAAACTCCCACTTCAAAGAATCAGTGGGTTTTAGTTGGTGTCCCAGAGGAACAACAAAGTTTCTGTCTGCTGCAGCGAACTGGTCACAATCTGTGGATGAAAAAGAAACCAGTCAGTTTTAATGAGGAAACAAAGAAAATTATCAAAATAGATAAATAATATGAAATTAAAAGACATTTTGTACCTACCCAGTAGACATAGGTTTGTGCTCTTTAGGGTCTGTAATTTTCCATTTTCGTCAAAAACATCAGAGGTGTAAAGTCCTGCTTGGTTCTCCCTCAGGTTCACCAGTTTAAGGGATCCGTCTGCATTAATGTCACTTTCTGTCCCAACAGATATCCTTCCTGGTTTTTTATTAAATATTATGCTGCCATTTAGCTTCCACTTCAGAGTATCGGTAGGTTTTAGTCGGTATCCCAGAGGAACAATGAAGCTTCCACCCACTGCAGCAAACCGATCACAACCTTTGGATCAGAAAGACAAAAAAAATAAATAAACAGAAGAAGACGAGCTGGTTAAGAGAAGATGGTACCTGACCTCACAGTTCACCTGTAACTCATAGCAATCAGTGCTATACTAAGTGGTAAAAGTTGGTGTTAATTTCTAAGAAAATTGTAAAAATACAAACAAAACAGCTGAACTTTAAGAGTACGGAAACAATTTGCAAGCCAAAATATGACTTAAGTTTAGATTTAATTCAAAGACCTAAAGCACTAAAGCTATTTTTAAAGTCAAAAAATGAATTTCGAGGGTTTTAAATACGTACCTCCTCCACCACCAATAAGATCCCAGACACTGGGAAGATCTGGGATAGATTAAAACACAGGAAAAAAAGAAATACGCTTTAACGATGATCAGTAAATAATAATTATTATTTTCTCATGAGCACTTATAATCAACATCATTTTTTCTAAAGAAATGATTTGTTTCAAGCGGCGGTTACAATGGAGCCCATCGTCCTGCGGATACCACAAACACACTTACCTATTTTAGCACAGCTGTGAGCGACAGGCTCACTGGGTTCAGAGCTGACTTCATTGAAAACTTTGCAGACAAATTTGTCGTCTTGAGTTTCTGATGCTTTGGTCTCAAAAGTCAAACCGTTTTCCTCCATCTTGGCTCCGTTCCGGAGCCACTCATGCTCCACGTCCGTAGGTTGCTGGAGGAAAATAGAAACAAAAGACAACAAATAGGTCAAGAAAAACATTCAAAACGGAGACAAGCTGTCCAGGAGCAGCCTCACCCTCAGCAGGGCCTAACTGCACCACATCGCAATGATTCACTCTGACTTTTTACTTTGACAGGGCCACGTGAGACGGAAATAACTGGTTTAATGGACTAATTATGAGTCTTGTGGTTTTTTTGGTTAAGAAGATGTGAAAATAAATACTCACTGGACCAAGAAAGCAGTGAAACTTCACGTTTCCATCCTGACATGTTGCGTTTACTTTAGGCTTCTTCACAGGATCTGAGGTGGTTTGATTAGAGCAAAGAGACGAGAAGTTATTAAGGAAATATAACAATGATGAAAAACAAAT